GCTTAATTATTTTTAGGCTTATTGGGTTTGACTATGTGGTTCAACCAAAACTCCCAATGTGGTCCTAACACCAGCTGTGACACATCCAACCACAAGAGAGCAGCATTTCACAGCACTTCAACATACTTCTCATATTCATGGCTGATGTTAATGTGTATCGTGTCTTCCTGAGTGATCGTTTAAACATGACTGCATTTAGACTGGTTTAACTCTACATAAAAAGGAGAAAATGTGAGTTTTGGTAGGTCAGAAAAATATGTGTTCATTTTCTTCTTTCTAATGGGAAGTATGTGGGAAATATTTCCTTAGCATCACATAAGCCTGTAACGGATACAGCCTACTAGCTTCCTTGGTGCTAAACTTCCACCCTGACAATAACCACTGAAGCAAAGCCGGTTGCTTATTTGTTTTTTGCCAAAGAAAATGGCTTCAGGATGAACTCCCTTATATCTCTGATGCGTTTGTCACATAGATTTTATATCAGTGTGACTAAGTAAACAAATTTCCCTTGGGGTAAGCTGCCCAACACTGGATAGATCCTGTTATCTCCTCTTTGGATACGTGCGTAAAAGCGCGTCAGTGGACCTCTCCACCCGCCCCCTCGTGCGCTCACGTTTCTTTTAACATGGTCTTGCGGTCTCGAGATTCTCAACATCCCACTAAAGTGCACATCATTGAGGCATATCTGCATCAGCGCTGCCTGCAGTCACACAGTGTCGTCACGCACTCAGCTTTCTGCACAAGAACAAGTGCGGGGAAACTGAGGCAACAAAGTCAACTCCAGTTTCTTTGGTCGACGTGGTGAGAAGGACGACCGACAGTTGCAGCTTCTCTGCTTTTACTGACGAATACCTGAAGTGCACCAGCAGGAAACGCAGAGCATGAAGAAAGCTCAAAATTCGGGTACAGGTGAGTCACGGAAAAGCATCCTTTGAAATATCACGTGCACTTAACTCTTCAAAAAGTAATTACAAGAGTGATTTTTGTGTGTAATTAATGGCACAGACTGGGAAAAAAAGATTTATTATATACTTTTAAAGTTTTGCATATTGTAATACTGCAGTCAAGTACTTAAACGTACATTTCTGATATATCTTAGATAATTGTAGCTTTTTTTGTAGGTCTTACATCTTAAATTCTATAAATCCAGGTTATCTTTTTTATAGTTCTTCAACTACTTAAACTCTGACTTGGGATTTACCACATCTGTTGTTCTGGGCCAATCTGTTTTGTGGCTGAGGTAGCAGCACTCACGGGAGCACCTCAGGGTCTCCTGGCCTTTACAGTCTGATGTGCATCATCTGTCCTTCCCAGTCTGACCTTCTGAATGGATGGAATGGACCCTTCAGGCTGAGCTGCCTTCCTGGACTCGCTGCTGTCTGTGTGTCTGCGTTAAGAATCATTTCTGACGTTTGCTTGCGCATGATGTCAGACTACATGGTTTTGTGTAGCCTATATGTGGGACCCTGCCTTGTAAGTGCATGGCACAACATAGTGTGTGCGTGTTATACAACATGTCTCTGGCCTTGCTCAAGCCCCATCTGTGTGTTCACTCTCCTTTAACATTGGGAACTCAGGATGGGCTCTGGGGGGAAAAATGACATGCTCTAGATTAAACACGAAAATATGTGGCACAAGCTGATGCTGTTGGGGCTTGTGTTGAAAACAGGAGACAAGGTCCACACTGTAAGTGCTTGGACACTTAACGCTTCAGGCTCTGAAAATAAGAAAACTGAAATAAAACAATAGCCAGAACTTTATTTCTGTCTATGTGTTTACATTGATAAGGAAAGAAATGCATTGAGGAGTCTTCCAACTTCACAGGGCTCAATAATAAATTAGTGCTTGACTGTTTAGGGAATAAAGTTGTGGGAAAAGTGCATATGGATCTATTCATGGCTACACCTGCACTGACACAGTATTACTATACAATCACATTCAGTGATTACTGTGACTGTGTTATATTTAACAGCTTGTGGTTCCACTAGCTTAGTATATGGTGAGACTACTGAAGAGGCGGGCAGAAATAAACAGTGTCCAGTGTTTTTTCAAACACTTACCAGAGAAAACAGCCCAGGAGGATTATCACTGCTGAGTGAATAACGCAAACATTTTATCTCAAAGGTCTCCGTACACTTTGATCATTAGAGTGTCTAGTCTGCTCTCCCTCCAGAAGAAAGAAAACCCATAAGACCTGGCAGCCACACTCACCCCTTTTTAGCTCAAAGCTTGTAACTCCAGCATTTTTTTTTCCACCCAGCATCATGACCTTAAGGTGTCAAATTTTCTCCCAGGCTAGAGCATTCATGGCTGAACTGAGAGAGAACCCAATTAGTAGTATTGAAAATGCATTTCCCCTAATAAATATGCTTTAACGGGAGGTTTTTTGGTCTTTCTCCTTTTGCATATCTTTTTTTGCAAAGTTTTAGTTGAAGTGTAACATTACTGGGAGTGCAGATGTGTGAAGTTGTGCAGATGTATTCTGGAGTGTAGCTATGATCTGGTGCATTAGTTCAAACAGCCTAAGATAACAGACCATTGATGTGTAAAATCTTTCATTTTTCGTAATTACTTTATACATACCTTCAAAGCTAAGGTTAAAAAGTCCCACTGAATACGCCTGAAAAATGCCAATGCTTTCAGAAAGAGCAACTTTTGGAAGGTTCTCTAATTTTCCCGGTACCTGATGCTGAATTTTATACTCTTAAGTGGGACCGTTGTGTTGTTCCTGGTCAGGTCACATATAAGATTATGTTATGTTGTTCTGATTTATTAAAGTCCGGTAAGACTAACAGTCTGTTGGGCTTGTTGAACTGGAGGTGCACATGTTGTTCTGTAGTTTCATGTAATGTAAACCTCAATGAAGAGTGAGATCCAGCGGAGTCAAAGAAGCACTGTTGTCTTTTTTCTCTTGCTCTTCCTACGCATGAGAGATCCCAGTCAGCTGTGATATATATTGTCATGCTTTTTGAAAACAGCCTAAGCTTGAGTGGATTTTTTTTTTAATGGTGGATTTTTGCTGAGGGCTGGTTGTGTGTATTTGCTCGACTTGAATAGAAGATTTCACAGAAAAATGCAATGAAGCAGGAGATGTCGACTTGTGGACGAAATACAGGACACTGAAAAATGTGCAGCTGATAATTAATTTCACATTGCACACATGTTTTTATAGGAATTTTGTTTTGTCTCTCAAAATCTCTGCTGCAGTGCTTTGAAGTTGATATATCAAAGGACACTGCAATGGGCACAGCTTTATTTTGAGTACACAGTCCTACCTTTTCTTATGTTATAAGGAAATGGCAAATTATTAATGAGTCAACTTCTCTGCAGTGCACCAGCCCGATGATGGCCAGGATTTAGCCTGCTGGATTACATGTAGTGGGAGGCATGGCCCACTCACTACAATATACAGTAGAGTGAGCTGATTTTTGTTAGTACATGCTATACTTCTCATGTGAGTATTTGTATACCAGCAGTCAGACGTTTAGCAAATATTTATTAAATGTAACTGTCATGTTAAAATGTTATTTTCCTTAAAAATTTTGTACATAATACAATTTAAGACAGAAGTACTGTCATTGATCAGAATACCTTTCTGTAAATATAATTGGCCTCTATTAAGTCAGTACAGACAAACAGTTATTAATATAATGTTTTGTTTTTTATTTGTCAGCAACCTAAAACTATTGATAAAGAATGGGGAACGTCCATCTATCCATGAGAACAGGTTGGATTTTGGACATTAAGACTGGATCTAAAGATTAATGAGCTTTAACAGCACAGTTAACATAAAAATAATAATTTGAAAGCATTTTAAACAGACATTATTAACACATTTACATTTAAATACACATTAACTGCACAGCCTAATCGTTTCTGGCGATGAAGGACCCTGGAATGTACTTCTTACCTTTTTGTTCCGATCTCTTGGTGTTAAATATATTATCTCTCCCTGCTGGTAATGCAGCTTCTGCATGTGCGTCCATTTCATGCTTTGGAAAAGCAAAGCGTGAAATCTAAACATGTCACTTGCACATGGTAACAATAGATTTTCAACATCACGGTCTTTACCCACTGTTATGGTGATTGTACCACTAGCTAGCTGCTTGCTCCCTTTGGCTTATAGATATTGCTCAGAAGAGAAAATAGTTCCTACGTTAACAGTGCTCTAAGGTTTGCAATTTCTTTAAAGTAACTGGGTAAAAAAAAGTAACAACAATAATAAATTGGATGGATGGACAGATGATTTTTGAAGGAATGCTTCTGCATCTTTCAGATGTTTTTATGTTTTGGCTTGAGCAATGCATGACAAATGTCATCTGATTTCATATTATTAAAGGAAATGCAGACACTTAATCTCTCCAAAAACTGGACAACTCACACCAAAAAACACTAGCTGGATATTTGATCATAGGGTGATGACTGATCTAACAGGGCACTGTAAAAATCAGCAAAGATGAATTTTGTGACGGTTGGCTGTAGCACTATTGAGTCTAACTGATTTCTTTAAAAATCCATCACACTTTAAATTCCACATCATGCAGCCTCCCACTAAACCACACCAGTAGGTCCTCTAGAGAAAGAGCAGATGAGGGAAGTCAATGCAGCTCTTTATTTCTTCCTAACAATGGCTCTTTAGTGACAGCTAAGCTAGATTCCCTTCAGTCTGAGTCACATATTGGCCTGGACTGCATTCACTACTTCTCCCTGTGATAATAAGGCCGCCTTTGGAGACTTTGGTATTCATCGGTATGCGTCTGTTTAATTCACTACTTTAGAGTCAGGCTGCCAAGTTTTCCAGTTCATATAATCCTTATCACTTTAAAACCCCTGCTTGAGCGTTTGACTGCTTTTATCAGTCTTCTTTCATGACTGCCATGTACAAAAGCTCAGTTTTATCCCTTAGTGGCGCTCTGAGATAGAAGTTACTCAGCCAAGGTTTTACTCACTGAAAGGTGTGGACTTTTTCCTTCAGATATTAGCCTAAAGCGTTCCCACCTACTGCAGAAAGTGTCATTTGATTTTGCTCCGTCTCTTGAGGTTTTACATCTCACTTCATCCCTGTTAATATCTGTAAGTCACATCTGAATAAAGTTGCTGATGAATAACCTGATATACCCTTGCATATACCCTTGTGCTTAAGTGTACACGCATGGACACAGACGCACACATGCAAGTATGACATCATTTGCCACTGTGTCAGAGTTTGGCTATAAATAGAGAAGGCGGACGATGACGTTTCAGCTTAACAAAGCCCCCCGTGAATAACATAAGGATGAAAACAGGCCATGTCACTGCTGCTTATCATGATGAGCAGCCAGCCAGTCGTGAAAAATGTTGCTGCATGTTCATTAAAGAAACACCTGATGTTACAAGCAGATGTCATTAGTTAAAGCATGGGATGATCATAATGAGGGCATCCACTGTCCTGTTACATGGTTATTATTAGTGTATTACAGGGACTTTTTTTTACAGTGAGAAAATGTTTCCTCTGAGGTATCAGACAAAGTTCCAATGATATAAGGTATCTGTGTCAAAATATTAGCCTGACCCCTTTCACAAAGTAAAAAGACAGAAAGGCATGAATGATGAGTTGTGGAGGATGATCAGTGACCACTTACAATCATCCATTTTTGGCCAGTATCTTTATTTACATCAAATTGAGATGCAGTTTCCATGAACATAAAGTTGAAATCATGTCAGCTCACTTATTGAGCCTGCAGAATAACAGAATGCAGTTGCAGTTGGCCAACAAGCAGCTGCTCACAGTCCAGTCCGGTGCTTAACGGTGCTTTTATTTATTGTGGTCCTGGTCTTTGGAACAAGCTGCCTACAGACCTGAGATCAATTATAACTGTGGATATATATTTAAAAACAGACTCAAAACCTTTTTATTCACCCAGGCTTAC